AAGAATAAAACTAAGTCTGCCCGAAATGCCTAGCCATGCTAAGCGTTCTAGTGGTACACTCAGTAATCACAATTTTACTACATGTAAACCAAACAATAACCAAATTTCTGTAAACTCAGCATTGTAAACCTTATAGAGAATAAACTTTGAATTTGAATTTGAATTTGAAAAATAAAAAAAATTTGTTTGAATCACTTCTTACCTAGAAATTAGATATATATCTTAAGAGGAGAACACTATACCGTCTCAAGATTGGTGTCCATTTTATGGACTGTCCAACAAAGTTATTGTGGAATGAGTGCGGATTGCTCTGCCAAGTTATTGTGATTTTTTCTTTGTTGATTGACAGGACTGAACAACTTACTGGTCGTCAAATAATGGTTTTAAAGGAGAGTTTTTGGGAAAACCTAAGCCACCAATTTCCAAAGATATAACTTCTGAACTCGGCTTCAAGGTGCAGATTTTCACTGGTCCATCTGGCAGGAGAAAATAATTATTGATTTGATAAAACAATAAACAGTAGACCATCCGATAGAAAAGAAAAATAATATTTTGCTTGACAATCAACACATTGGTCCTTCAAGGATAAGAAAAGAGTCAATTGGCTGATGATCAATAAAAAATTGGCTTAAATTAATGATACTAATAATTTCCTGAAAGCTACATTTGTAACATGTGAGAACAAGATTTTATAATTACATCTTGTAGAGGAGATGCGTTTTATATCATTATTGTTCATAATGTGTTTGTAGATGTCTAATTTACGTAGAATTTTCAATTTTACTTAAAATCAAAATAGAGTAAGGAATATTTACAACAAAAATACTGTAGATCTATGGTTCAGAGAACCGACATGTTAATAAATTAGACACATGTGCAACTCTTGGGTATCTTTATCGTATTCTATTCAAGATTGATGGACTGAACACATTGACTGAAGGTTGAGGGACTGATTACCTCATTCTCCTCCTGTTCTTCAAGTTTCTCCTACGTATGGACTGATGAAGCCACTGTGTGGCGAAACGTTTCCTCAATAAAGATACCCAAGAGTTGCACATGTGTCTAATTTATCAACAAAAATACTACAACATAAACAGTGGTGTGCTCACCTGATGTAGCATAAGTGTCTTGCAGAGTTAGAGATGCTTGACCAATTACTGCAAGGAATAACACCAAGTATCAGGGGTCTGAAGGAAGAATTTATCAACTAAACTAGGTAAAAATGCATTACCAGTTATATTAACATTAATCACAAATAACGTTCACTTAGGGTTGGAAATTTGTGACGAACTTACGGTCCTTCCTGGAAGCATGTCAAGTCACAACTGAGCGAGAAAAGGCAGAGAAGGTCAAGAGACGGTACAGGTGATATGAGGTGATGCAGCAGTAGTAGCAGTAATAGAAATAGCAGTAGTAATATAAGTAGTAGCAGTAACAATAGTAGTAGTAGTAGTAATAGTAGTAGTAGTAGTAATAGTAGTAGTAGTAGTAATAGTAGTAGTAGTAGTAATGATTAAGACACATGTGCAACAGTTGGGTAACTTTACTGTTGAAATCTTTCGGAGGTGAAAGATCTGGAAGACGTTGTAAGGGACGGGATTCACTAGTAGAAGTAAGAAGGCAGGTTCCTCTGGAATTCAACCCTTCTCACTCATAACTAGTAGTTACGTGTCACTGCTAGTTATGAGTGAGAAGAACTGGATTCCAGAGGAAACATGTCTACTTACTCTTACTAGTGACTCCCATCCCCTTCGACAGTATTTAAGACTCCATTCTCACGTTTTAGCCCAGGAAACAGGCACACAGAAACATGGCTTTTTCCGAAAGGAACAGGCTACGCATCAACCCTAGCAGCACAACCGTCACCAGTGAGGAGCAGTGTAGACCAACATCCCGTATTACCCATGAGCCATCAAATGATGTCGACTATCACGTGCTTCACCGATATCATATGTGACCTGACAGACTCAGAAGAAAACAAAGACACATTTAGAACTATTGTGAAAACCTTTGTGAATGCATGCATGTTGGACAAAAAGAGTCCATGCGCATATTTTCAAATTCACCCGACCACCCTACACTGAGCCCAGAAACAATAATCAGTCAGTGCTTTAGTCAATACAGCACTGCAAGATTCAGGCCAAGAGACACGGGACAGGTACACGGAATCACACGCTTCTTCTGAAAGGAAAAGGTCACAATGTTCCTAGGACTCAACCGAGGACTCGGATTTGGAAACGTGGGGCGCGATTCTGGCGAAAAAACTGAAAGACCACTCATTTGACTCCCAGCCAGACCTGTGAGACAGGGATGAATCAAGAAATGCTCATCCCCACCCCAGATAAACTGGATGGAGAAGGTTGGTGGGTAGCAGGAGCCCCGAAGTTCCAGAGAAGATATAATGCTTCCTTGCCTCAGATCTGGTAAACTAAGCCATCTGCTGGCAACAAATTCAAAATGATAAGCAACGTACACCACGACACCCCGTATGCTGCTTGTTGCGTACAGGGCCACTACTTAAGCCTGTTTAGCACTTTCTTGCAACAAATAAACAGGATTGAATATCCTGTTCTAGATGAAATCATTCAAGGTTCAGTAGTAAACAATCACAATGTTTCTTTCCGGTTTTTTTATTAAGTTTCTTAATAAACCATAGAAGGGTTTTATATTAACTTTAAAAAGGTCGCACCATAAAACAGAGTACTCATAAAATTTACACTTTAGTTCACTTAAAAGATAATACACAATATCCTGTCTTGATTATAGTACTGAATGGCTCTAGTATCATAACACCTTCACTTCACATAATAACACTTTATTGACTCAATCCCAATGAGACAGAAAACGTAACACTTCGATAATAATTCATTCTTATTCAACTTTCAAAATATACTAAGCGAGATTAGGAATATTCTACACTTAAAGGAGTTCTGAGGCGAGTCTGTCTCCCATGACTTTTTCACCGTCCTCTTTGAACCAATACTGCTTAAACCCGCTACTAGCAGAGCTAGGGACAATCACCAGCGTCTCCAATACAGCGACACACACTTCGTCCGAGACGTTTCTGTCTGATACCGTTCGAGGTGCTGGAGGGTCACTAGGGAACCTCATGTAAGACCAGAAAGTTAAATCCAGGAATCAAGAAGCTTCTCTCACGAAAGGTGAGAGTGGACTGCCCTATAACAGAATTCTCAGACTGACGTCACCTCGGATTAAGAGGGGACAGTGGCTAGACGACAGCCGGGTAGTAAACAACTGTACCCGTAGTTTACATCGTCGAAACATCCTATCTATTTACACAGCTAAATAAATTAAGGCTAGATAATATTATAAAGTACTCTATCCTCATTTTAGCTACTAATTACCCGGAGTTTACCTGGAGAGAGTTCCGGGGGTCAACGCCCCCGTGGCCCGGTCTGTGACCAGGCCTCCTGGTGGATCAGAGCCTGATCAACCAGGCTATTGCTGCTGGCTGCACGCAAACCAACGTACGAGCCACAGCCCGGCTGGTCAGGAACCGACTTTAGGTGCTTGTCCAGTGCCAGCTTGAAGACTGCCAGGGGTCTGTTGGTAATCCCCCTTATGTATGCTGGGAGGCAGTTGAACAGTCTCGGGCCCCTGACACTTATTGTATGGTCTCTTAACGTGCTAGTGACACCCCTGCTTTTCATTGGGGGGATGTTGCATCGTCTGCCAAGTCTTTTGCTTTCGTAGTGAGTGATTTTCGTGTGCAAGTTCGGTACTAGTCCCTCTAGGATTTTCCAGGTGTATGTAATCATGTATCTCTCCCGCCTGCGTTCCAGGGAATACAGGTTTAGAAACCTCAAGCGCTCCCAGTAATTGAGGTGTTTTATCTCCGTTATGCGTGCTGTGAAGGTTCTCTGTACATTTTCTAGGTCAGCAATTTCACCTGCCTTGAAAGGTGCTGTTAGTGTGCAGCAATATTCCAGCCTAGATAGAACAAGTGACCTGAAGAGTGTCATCATGGGCTTGGCCTCCCTAGTTTTGAAGGTTCTCATTGTCCATCCTGTCATTTTTCTAATGAGGCTAGAAATAACATAATATTAAGTGAAAAAGCCAGTTACATATACATCATACCTGACCTAGAAGGTTCACAAAAGAGGTGCGTAACACTGCTAAAATTCACATAGAGAGGAAATACGGCCTGAAGATATCAGTGTCCCCAAATCTGAAAGAGGAGTTTATTTTCACATCCCGAATCACAGAGTCCTATGAGTACTGTTCCATCCACAGGACACGCCTCTCGGTGCAATCCATAGTAACAAAAACATCTTAAAAGTTGAAGGACTCTGAGCCAAGAAGGACGGTAACGTTCCTATGAAGCAGGTCTTGACCCAGCATAGGGGATCTTTCCTAGCTCAACTGGATCTCTGCTGCTGGGGGAAAATACCTGGTCAGGACATACAGCCCAGAACCTCTAAAGCGCTTCAGGTGCCCAATGTATAACCACCTCAGTGCCCGATGTCAGTTTAAGGAAATATGTGGCATCCTTAGAGGGTCTCACCCGGCCATGGAATGCTTGGATAAATTGAAAGGTGACGCTATGAAACCTGGGTGTCCGAACAGTGGCAAGAAGCATCATGCATGGAACCTGCACTACCCAGAGAGACTCCGCCGTGTCAGGGCAGCGTGGAAAACCTTATTGTCCAGCCTCCAACATCATGGGATCTTGTTACAAAGAATTCTTCAACACTTGTTCAACCTTTGGACGAAGACCTACTTCGACTAGTGGATGTTACCACTATGACCCCACCTCCTTCTGCTTCACCTTACCTCACTACAGTATATAAGCCACGTCTACGGCCCTATGCTGTACATTCTACAAGATTGATGGACTGAACACATCGACTCCAGGCTGAGGGACTGATCACCTCAAACTCCTCCTCTCTTTACGCCTTTCTACTTTGTATTGGACTGATGAAGCCACTGTGTGGCGAAACGTTTCCTGAATAAAGATTCCCATATGTTGCATAAGTGTCTCAATTTTCAACCTGCAAATTCATGACGTCCACCATCTCCTCCTCGGTCAGTAAGCACACTTTCAATAGCGTACTGACCATCTGCCGGAATATGCTCTGTTGTTCCGTGGAGTCGATTGTGTTGCAAACAATATCCATGAACACCTTGAGATCCTCTACCGCTAGAGATCCTCTAACTGGGAGGAAGGTACGTGAGTATTTATAGGATTAAGTCAGGTTGAGAATGCTGGTCAAGTGGAGAATGCTGCATGTGACAATCTACCGAGTAGGGTTATAGAGTCTAATACTTTGGTTAGCTATGTAGAGAGATTGGATAAGTATACAGTAGACTTTCTGCAGTGTTCCTCCGTTCTTACGTTTTTATGTGGGATAGCGATGAAGAAGTTTCTTGGCAAGTGGTTCAGCTAGGTTATAGAAGCCGTTGTTCTGGTTGAAGTTGTTGGATATACAGATAAGTGATGATTCCAGGATTTTCGGTATTGAGTGTTGTCTTCTCTGGCGTTAAGTCTTGAGTTTCTGCAGTTAATTAAATGGTTGTGTGAATTTCGGTGTTGTACACAGGCATTCCTTGGATCGTCAGATCTGCTTGCTTATTGGTGTTCTGAAATAAGTGTTTGGAGGTCTCTTGATGTTTCGCCCACATATAATTTGCTGCAGTCATTACATGGGATTATGTATACCCCTGCAGAGGGTGGAAGCTTGTCCTGTCTATTGCTGGTAATGCCCTTGATGGCCGTGGTTGTGGAGGTAGATGCTTGGAATGAGGTATTTAAAAGATGTTGGAGGTATTGGAAAAGATGTTGCAGACGTGTTCATCAGTCCATGCAAAGGAGAATGATGTAAGGAGAGGAGGAGTTTGAGGTAATCAATCCCTCAGCCTGGAGTAGATGTGTTCAGTCCATCAATCTTGTAGAAAGTACAGCATAGGGCCGTAGAAGTGGCTTATATACTGTAGTCAGGTGAGGCGAAGGCAGGAGGAGGCGGGGTCATAGTGGTACCATCCACTAGTCGAAGTAGGTCTTCGTCCTAAGGTTGGACAAGTGTTGAAGAATTCTTTGTATCAAGATCCCATGATGCTGCAGTTTGTGACAGGTGTGATAAATGGTTTAAAACCCGACAAGTTGAAGATTTAGACACTTATGCAACGTATGGGAATCTTTACTGAAGAAACTTTTCAGCCACACTGTGGCTTCATCAGTCCATACAAAGGACATTGTCCACATTGGACGAACATGATACCACCTACGACTGCTGCACCTCTCCTGTCTACAGTATATAAGCTACTTCTCTGCACATATGCTGTATTCTTTACAAGTTTGATAGACTGACCCCATCGACTCATGGCTGAGGGATTGATTACCTCAAACTCCTTCTGTTCTTCACCGTTCTCCTTTGTATGGACTGATGAAGCCACTGTGTGGCGAAACGTTTCCTCATTAAAGATACCCAAGTGTTGCACATGTGTCTAATTTATCATCAGGGTATTGAAGCACCTGATGCATCACCAAAAGTGCATCTGGCACAAGTGCAGGAAGTATGCACTACACCATGTGGGGTATATGACAAACTGTGGGGGTAAAACGGTCAGATCTATGAATGTTTGGATCAGGAAACACACAAAACGCTTGCAGAAATGATCATAAAAAACGTGTGTGTTCAACATAGGGACGATGTTGGACACAACATGAAATTCAGTGAGGCTAGAGCAGTAGTTAGGGAAGACGATTTAATGAGGCGAAAGTGCATAGACGCTGCCCCAGTTGCTGTCAGTAACGCTGTCTACCAAAAGTCCGGTAGTTACACAATTTCCAAATTGCTAATCAACAGAATATCACCAGTTGTCACCACAATTATTACTGGTGCTACCCAAGCGACACTCCACCTGACTCCCGCCACTATATACTAGTTTTCTTAGTTATCTCTATTAGGACTGAAGCCATTCATGGCAAAACTTTTCCTTTTTAATAAATGTCCTGAACGTACTTTGTCTTTTTTCTCACTTTATCTATTCTAAAAACATAAATTATAAGTGCTGCTACTTTTTTTCCCCTCAAAAGCTTCCTCCTCCCCTCTGCTTTGGTTTTGATTTTTTTCCCTGTTTCGTATTTTGCAGTGGCCGGCCCAACAAAAAAATGTCAAAGTTTTTTTTTTTAAAGATGTTTTTGGGAATTTTCTACCCTCAGTCGAGTGAGCTTCTCTGATTAACCAAAGACAACCTGGGGGGAGTGAGGATCTTGAAGACTAACCTATGAGAGAGATGCTTTGTTTGAGGGTCTTTGTATGGACTCGTCTGTAGGGAGAATGGTGTCTGACAAACACTGCCGGTAAAAGAGGTACTTTTGGCCTTGCTGGGTGTGTCTCCCGCAAAAAAATAGTTTATTTTTAGTTATTTCCCCCCATGGGTTGGTTTTTTCATTGGATTAATTTTAGCTTGAATACATAAGTCATGTCATGGTTTTTGTGCTCGCCGTTAACCGATTTTAAAAATTCGAAACTAAAATATGATAATCAAGTTTTAAATATGCAATAAGAATTGTTTGCATAATTAACTATGGGTTTAAAATAAAACATGTGTTTCATATAATCTCAATGATTAAATTTCTCTATTTTTATTAAAAACACAAGTTCAAAAAAATGAAATTTCATTAAGGCAGTTTCGCCTCCAGGGCTTTTTAAGTGTTACGCAATTCAGGGACAAGGGTAACATAGGTACAGTGGGTGTTCATGTATTGTTTGTAACGGCTTGACAAAGCTCCCTTTTTAAGGGGGGCTCCTTGTTGTGGTGAAGAGGTTATTGGTTGAGGAAAATTTGGGCCTTTTTGGGTTTTTCAGCCGAACCAAATTACCCCCCAATCCCCTCCCCTTCCCTCCTCCCATTCTCCCCCTTTTTTCCCCTTTTCCCCCCTCTTCCCAACCCCCCCCTTTTCACCATCCCATTTTAGCCTCTGGGGTCTCCCCTTGGTATTACGCTTTCTAGTTGGGGGGAAGAGTGCCGTGATTCTTTCCCGCCCCAATGGGTTTCCCTGGGGTTTATGGTGTAGTTTGCCGTGGAATCTAGATTATTGGAGGCACCCTGCTCCTTTCCGGGATTTCGAGAAATAGGCTGTGTGACCTGCAAATGACGGGTGTATTTCGGTACTGCCTGTTGGTTTTAGGAGGTGGTGGGTTTCTCACCGCAGTCTCCCGAGGTGGCTCGGGAGATATGAGGTTGCTATCCGGAGCGTGGTTTACTGGTGTGTCAGGTGGGGTATGGTACGGTTCCACGCTGCATCTGCACTGTTTAGTGTTACCTGGAACCTTAGTGTTGCCTGGAGCTGACTGTTGCCTGGAAACCTGAGTGTTCCCGGGAAACCCTGAGTGTTACCTGGAACCTTAGTGTTCCCTGGAACCTGACTGTTGCCTGGAACCTGAGTGTTGCCTGGAACCTGAGTGTTCCCTGGAATCTAGCGTTCCCTTGAACCTAAGTGTTGCCTGGAACCTAAAGTTTTGCCTGGAACCTGAATGTTGCCTGGACCTGAGTGGTGTTGCCTGGAACCTGAGTGTTGCCTGGAATCTGAGTGTTGCCTGGAACATGAGTGTTGCCTGGAACCTGAGTGGTGTTGCCTGGAACCTGAGTGTTGCCTGGAATTGAGTGTTCCCTGGAACCTGAGTGTTGCCGGGAAACCTGAGTGTTGCCGGGAAACCCTGCTTGTGGTCTCTCGGATGAGAGGAGGAACTTATGGCCCTTTCATGCCTTCTAGTGACTGTCCCTATGCTGTCCCACTAATTTTTCCCCTTTTTCTTACAAATAATAAGAAAGAAGTCCCATCACCATGGAGTCTTCTTTCCCGTGATAAACCCCCCTCCAGGCCCCTATTTGTTTCCCACCCCTTTTTGGGACCCGGCTTCATTATTGGCCCATTCTCTAGATTTTTCCCATCCCCCTGTACCTTCTGCTGGTGATGCTTCGTCACCTGCTCCGGTGCTGGGGCTTCACCCATTTCTGTTAGTGCCTCTGCCTCTTGCACGCCTCTGAATACTGTGCAACAGTTTTCGGATCGCCCACCTACCTCGTGTCGGGCAACGTTTGGGCGGTACTACGCCTAAACATTCCAGACCAATTATGATGACGGTTCTTCAATGTCTTCATATGCTTCTCAAAACAACCTACACACCCCCAGTTCCTTTACGCACCATATTTACAAGTACACAATGGACTAAATTCTTTTTCCTACAACCGACATCTCCACCGATTATTTTTTCTGACCACAGTATTAGTACAAAACTTGCACACAAAAAATCATTCCCTACGAAAAGAAAAAGGCTCGGTAGGAGATGCAACATTCTCCTAGTGAAAAGCAGGGGTGCCACGAGTACACTAAGAAGCAACACAATGATGTCGGGGCCCAAGACTGTTCAACTGCCGTCAACATACATAAGGGAGATTAATAATAGATCCCTGGCTGTCTTCAAGAAGGCACTAGACAGGCACCTAAAAGTCAGTCCCTGATCAGCCGGGTTGTGGTTCATACATCTTTTGCGTGCACCCAGCATTTAACAGCCTGGCTGATCAGACCCTGATCCACCACGAGGTCTGATCTCAGACCTGGCCGCGGGGGGCGTTAGCCCCCCCCCAAAATCCTTCCAGGTAAACTCCAGGTATCAGGGAGAAGAGGTTAAGGGGAGACCTGATGACCCGCTGGATGGCCGAATACTACTGAAGATAAGCGAGTTTTTCTAGTATTATTTGGTTAGAATGTGTCATTAGGTGTTTCAGCATAGCTGGAATGTGTCCTTATGGTGTTGAACATAACTGTAATGTGTCCTTATGGTGTTCAACATAGCTGGAATGTGTCCTTATGTGTTCAACATAGCTGGAAGGTGTCCTTATGATGTTCAACATAGCTGGAATGTGTCCTTATTGTGTTCAACATAGCTGGAATGTGTCCTTTGGTGTTTCAAAAATAGCTGGAAAGTGTTCTTATGGTGTTCAGCATAGCTGGAATGTGTCCTTATGGTGTTCAACATAGCTGGAATGTGTCCTTATGATGTTCAACATAGCTGGAATGTGTCCTTATGGTGTTCAGCATAGCTGGAATGTGTCCTTATGGTGTTCAACATAGCTGGAATGTGTCCATATGGTGTTCAACATAGCTGGAATGTGTCCTTACGGTGTTCAACATAGCTGGAATGTGTCCTTACGGTGTTCAACATAGCTGGAATGTGTCCTTATGGTTGGATTACATTTTGTCAAGCAAATTAGTACTGGAAAGGTAAGAATAAAAATTGACAACAAAGACTTTTAGAAGTGTTTATAAACTTAACTTTTTAGCCCAGTTTGTGATATAATTTAACCTCCATTTAAAGCTTTATAATTTATGAAAAGAAAAAACGTTACAGGTGGGGATAGAACTCATGGCAAGTGAGTGGTGAAACTCCAGGCCAGTGCGCAACCCACTGAACTGTATTAGTGTAATATTATATTTCAAGTATATGAAGAATGTAATAACTACTCAAGAGCCTTAAAAGAAACTGTTTTCTAACCTCTGGGTCGAATGATGGCAATGTTTATCATAATGATCTGAGAGTATAAGAGAAGAATTATTATATATATTACGAGGGAAGTGTTTATATCTTACTGTTCATTTAGTGGGTCTTATTTCAGATCAATGAAATCTGCACTACGTAAATAATGTCCTTCCATCTCACTATACCTGGAGTATACCTGGAGAGGGTTTCGGGGGTCAACGCCCCCGCGGCCCGGTCTATGACCAGGCCTCATGGTGGATCAGGGCCTGGTCAACCAGGCTGTTACTGATGGCCGCACGTAATCTAACATACGAACCACAGCCCGTCTGGTCAGGAACTGACTTTAGGTGCCTGTCCAGTGCCTTCTTGAAGACAGCCAGGGGTCTATTGGTAATTTCCCTGATGTATGCTGGGAGGCAGTTGAACAGTCTTGGGCTCCTGACACTTGTTATGTTGTCTGTAAATTATTCCACACTGATAGGGTCAACAGGAAGGGTGGTGGAGTAACGAGGTATATCAGAGACAATTTAAATTGTGTTAGAAAAGATATAAAATTAGAAGCATCAGCCACTGAATCTGTTCGGTTACAGCTTCTCGAGGGCCGAGAAAAGCTGATCTTGGGTGTGATTTACAGGTCCCAGACCATGATGGGGAGTACAGTTAAGTTCTATGGGACGAAATTCGTAAGGCATCTACATACGAAAATGTTGTGCTAATGGGAGATTTCAACTATAGACAGATTGACTAGAGCAATTTGAGAGGAAATTTAGAGTTAGGTGACTTTCTTGATACGATTCAGGATTGTTTTTTTAAAACAGTTTGTAACAGAACCAACTAGAGGAAATAGCCTGCTTGACTTGGTTCTTGCCAGCAGGGAAACACTAATTAATAATCTTGAGGTTAATGATGAGCTTAGGGAAAGTGATCACAAATCACTCAGTTTTAATGCATCATGGAATTACCCTAATAATGGCAATCAAGTCTCTGTCTTGACTTCTGCTTGGCTGATTTCATAGGACTGAGAAATTACCTGGGTGGGCTGAACTGGAATGACCTGACTATGGGCCAGGTAAGTGGTGATGGTTACCAATATGACGTTTTCCAGAGCATAGTTCTAGCTGCTCAGACAACTTATGTTCCAAATAGGGAAATCACATCTAATAAAAATGATCCTAAATGGATGAACAATAGATTAAAACATCTCATTTGTCAAAAGAGAGGCATATATAGGCGAATCAAAAGAGGAGATGGGCAGTTAAGAAATCAGTATATTCAGTTAAAGAGAGAAATAAAAAAGGGAATAAGAAAAGTAAAAAGAGATTATGAGGTTAAAGTTGCAAGAGAATCGAAGACTAACCCAAAAGGATTCTTTCATGTAAACAGAAGTAAGATTAGAGACAAGATAGGCCCAATCAAAAGTTACTTGATCCTGCTCACCGACAGTGATAAGGAAATGTGTAGATTTTTAACACATATTTAATCTCAGTTTTTACACAGGAAGATACTAGCGATATTCCAGAAATAATAAATTATGTAGAACAGGACGATAATAAACTATGCACGATTAGGGTCACAAGTGACATGGTCCTTAGGCAAATAGATAAATTAAAACCTTACAAATCCCCAGGCCCTGATGAGCTGTATTCAATTCAATTCAATTCAAATTCAAAGTTTATTCTCTATAAGGATTACAATGCTGAGTTTACAGAATTTGGTTATTGTGTGGTTTACATGTAGTAAAATAATGATTACAGAGCGTACCACTAGAACACCTAGCATGGCTAGGCATTTCGGGCAGACTTAGTTTAATTCTTAATTTTAAAATATTACAAATTATGAGGTAAGTTGGTATTATGGCTAAGTGACTAAATACTAGTTTGTGAGTTTAGCAATGTGAATGCTTTTGTTTTGGCACAGTATATAGTTTCAGTATTGGAATATCACAGGATTCATTATTTTAAGATTGAGATTAATATTTCTGTTTATGGTTAAATGGATGAGTGAGTGTAAGTGTGAACCACCAGGTGGTATTCGTGTAGTTAGTTGACGGGGTGTATCAGGGAGATAAGATGTTTTCTAATGGTAGTTTTGAAGGTGATGAATGTGTCTGAGTTCTAGAGTTCTCAGGTAGGGTGTTCCAGATTTTAGGGCCTTTGACATACATTGAATTTTTGTAAAGGTTTAGTCGGACACGGGGAATGTCATAGAGATGTTTGTGTCTGGTGTTATGCCTGTGGGTTCTGTCACAACTATCAAGAAAGCATTTTAGGTCAAGGTAGATATTAGAGTTTAAGGTCCTGTAGATGTAGATTGCACAATAGTAATTGTGGATGTACTGAACAGGGAGTAAGTTTAGATCTATGAAGAGTGGGAGGGGGGTGTTGCCAGGGATGGGATTTAGTGGTTATTCTTACTGCAGCTTTTTGTTGGGTTATTATTGGCTTTAGGTGTGTTGCTGCAGTTGATCCCCAAGCACAAATAGCATAGGTGAGGTATGGATAAATAAGTGAGTGGTATAGTGTGAGAAGGGCATTTTGCGGCACGTAGTATCGTATCTTGGAGAGGATCCCAACCGTTTTGGATACTTTTTTGGTTATATGCTGGATATGGGTGCTGAAATTCAGGTTGTTGTCAAGGTATAGGCCTAGGAATTTGCCCTCATTATGTCTGGTAATTAGAGTGTTGTCGATCTTAATGTTAATTTGTGCATCTCCTGCTCTGCTACCAAACATAATATAGTAGGTTTTGTCAGTGTTAAGCGTAAGTTTATTGGCTGTCATCCAAGTCGATATTTTGATCAGCTCCTCGTTTACAATGGTGTTGAGGGTGGCAAGATTAGGGTGAGAGATGACATAAGTCGTGTCGTGAGCAAAGAGGATGGGTTTTAGGTGTTGGGATACGTTTGGAAGATCACTGATGTATATGAGGAAGAGCAGGGGACCGAGGACACTTCCCTGCAGAACTCCAGTATCAAGTGGCCGTGTTGTTGATGCTGTGTCTTTAATGGTGACATACTGATACCTATTAGTAAGGTAAGATTTGAAATAAGCAAGCGCATGGCCTCTTATACCGTAATGGTCAAGTTTGTTGAGTAAGATGTCGTGGTCTACTGTGTCAAAAGCTTTTCTTAGGTCAATAAAAATTCCTAGTAAATATTCCTTATTTTCGAATGCTGTGTAAAGCAGATCTAGCATTTTTATGATTGCATCATTAGTGCTTTTATTTTTTCTGAATCCAAATTGGCAGGGGTTGAGTATGTTTTGTGCCGTTATAAATTAATATAGTCTCCTGTGCACGAGTTTCTCAAAAATTTTGGATAGCAATGGTAAGTTTGATATTGGCCTATAGTTGTTTAAGTCTGTAGGGTCACCACCTTTATGTATTGGTGTAACCCTTGCCATCTTGAGTAGTTTCGGGAAGGTGCTAGTTTCTAGTGACTTGTTAAAAAGTAATGAAATTGCATGCAAAAGGACATGGGCCGCTCGCTTGTACAGTAATGGTGGGACATGAGACAGATTCCCTGAGTTATTTTTAAGTGACTTTATAATCTCAGTGACTTCCGTGGGCTCAGTTGGTGCAAGATAGAAGGAATTTGGGAAATTCCCATCTAGGTAGTCCCCGGCATGGGCATTGGTATGTGGGATTTTATTGGCGAGATTAGATCCTATGGTTGAGTGAAGTCGTTTATCTTGTTAGCTGTGTCAGTGGGATGTAGTGGTGTTTCATTAGGTTTAGTTAGGACAATATTCTTGTTTTTTTTTCAGTTTGTGGGTCCCTAGAATCTGAGAGAGTGTTTTCCAGGTCTTTTTTATATCTCCTCTAGTGTCTGTGAATCTACTGGAGTAGTATAGTTGTTTGGCTTTCTTTACTACTTTGGTGAGAACTGATGAATAGTGTTCTAAAGGAATGTAAAAAGGATCTTAGCAAACCTTTGGCTAATCATTTAAACATATCACTACAAACTGTCATAGTGCCAGATAAGTGGAAAATGGCTAATGCGATACCTGTTTTCAAAGCAGGTGACAGGTCCTTAGCTTCGACCTATAGATCAATAAGCTTAACCTCTATAGTGGTAAAATTTATTGAATCAGTAATTGCCGAGGCAGTTCGTAATTTTACTAAAAGGCATTCTTGTCTTACGAATTTATTAACTTTTTTTCACTAAGGTATTTGAGGGGGTAGATTATGGTAATGAATATGATATTGTGAATATGGACTTCAGTGAGACTTTTGATAGAGTCCCACATCAGAGACTATTGAGGAAAATTAAGGCACAAGGAATAGGAGGTGAAATTTTTTCCTGGATGGAGGCATGGTTGACAGGTAGGCAGCAGAGAGTTTGCATAAATGGGGAGAAATCTGAGTGGAGAAGTGTCACGAGCGGTGTTCCACAGGGTTCAGTGTTGGTCCCTTATTGTGCACAATCGACATAAACGACATAGATGAGGGAATAAATAGCGACATAAGCAGGTTTGCCGATGACACCAAAATAGGCCGGCGAATTCATTCTGATGAGGACACTGGAGCACTCCAGGAAGATTTGAATAGACTGATGCAGTGGTCGGAGAAGTGGCAGATGCAGTTTAATATAGACAAATGCAAAGTTCTAAACATTGGACAGGAAAATGACCATGCCACATATAAATTAAATAATTTTTATTATTTTATTAACACACTGGCCGATTCCCACCAAGGCAGGGTGGCCCGAAAAAGAAAAACTTTCACCATCATTCATTCCATCACTGTCTTGCCAGAAGGGTGCTTTACACTTCAGTTTTAAAACTGCAACATTAACACCCCTCCTTCAGAGTGCAGGCACTGTACTTCCCATCTCCAGGACTCAAGTCCGGCCTGCCAGTTTCCTTGAATCCCTTCATAAATGTTACTTTGCTCACACTCCAACAGCACGTCAAGTATTAAAAACCATTTGTCTCCATTCACTCCTATCAAACACGCTCACGCATGCCCGCTGGAAGTCCAAGCCCCTCGTACACAAAACCTCCTTTACCCCCTCCCTCCAACTTTTCCTAGGCCGACTCCTACCCCGCCTTCCTTCCACTACAGACTGATACACTCTTGAAGTCATTCTGTTTTGCTCCGTTCTCTCTACATGTCCGAACCACCTCAACAACCCTTCCTCAGCCCTCTGGACAACAGTTTTGGTAATCCTGCACCTCCTCCTAACTTCCAAACTACGAATTCTCTGCATTATATTCACACCACGCATTGCCCTCAGACATGACATCTCCACTGCCTCCAGTCTTCTCCTCGCTGCAACATTCATCACCCATGCTTCACACCCATATAAGAGCGTTGGTAAAACTATACTCTCATACATTCCCCTCTTTGCACTTCGCTCACCCATTTCCCCTCATCAATTCTATGATTCACCTCATCTTTCATAGACCCATCCGCTGACACGTCCACTCCCAAATATCTGAATACATTCACCTCCTCCATACTCTCTCCCTCCAATCTGATATCCAATCTTTCATCACCTGATCTTTTTGTTATCCTCATAACCTTACTCTTTCCTGTATTCACTTTTAATTTTCTTCTTTTGCACACCCTAACAAATTCATCCACCAAACTCTGCAACTTCTCTTCAGAATCTCCCAAGAGCACAGTGTCATCAGCAAAGAGCAACTGTGACAACTCCCACTTTATGTGTGATTCTTTATCTTTTAACTCCACGCCTCTTGCAAGACCCTCGCATTTACTTCTCTTACAACTCTATCTATAAATATATTAAACAGCCACGGTGACATCACACATCCTTGTCTAAGGCCTACTTTTACTGGGAAATAATCTCCCTCTTTCCTACATACTCTAACTTGAGCCTCACTATCCTTGTAAAAACTCTTCATTGCTTTCAGTAACCTACCTCCTACACCATACACCTGCAACATCTGCCACATTGCATCCCTATCCACCCTGTCATACGCCTTTTCCAAATCCATAAATGCCACAAAGACCTCTTTGGCCTTATCTAAATACTGTTCACTTATATGTTTCACTGTAAACACCTGGTCCACACACCCCCTACCTTTCCTAAAGCCTCCTTGTTCATCTGCTATCCTATTCTCCGTCTTACTCTTAATTCTTTCAATAATAACTCTACCATACACTTTACCAGGTATACTCAACAGACTTATCCCCCTATGATTTTTGCACTCTCTCTTTTGTCTCCTTTGCCTTTATACAAAGGAACTATACATGCTCTCTGCCAATCCCTAGGTACCTTACCCTCTTCCATACATTTATTAAATAATTGCACCAACCACTCCAAAACTATATCCCCACCTGCTTTTAACATTTCTATCTTTATCCCATCAATCTCGGCTGCCTTACCCCTTTTCATTTTACCTACTGCCTCACGAACTTCCCCCACACTCACAACTGGCTCTTTCTCACTCCTACAAGATGTTATTCTTCCTTGCCCTATACACGATTAAATAATGTAGATCTTAATACTACTGACTGCGAAAAGTATTCGGGGTTCTGGTTAGCGGTAATCTAAAACCAAGACAACAGTGCATTAGTGTTCGCAATAAAGCTAACAGAATCCTTGGCCTCATATCTAGAAGCATAAATAATAGGAGTTCTCAGGTTGATCTTCAACTCTATATACCCTTGGTTTGGCCTTATTTAGATTATGCTCCACAGTTTTGATCACAATTTTACAGAATGGATATAAATGCTCTGGAAAACGTACAAAGGAGGATGACAAAGTTGATCCCATGTATCAGAAATTTTCCCTATGAGGATAGACTGAGGCCCTGAATCTGCACTCTCTCGAAAGGCGTAGAATTAGGGGGAATATGATTGAGGTGTAAATATGGAAAACAGAAATAAATAAAGGGGATGTAAATAGCGTCCTAAACATATCTAGCCAAGATAAGACTCGCAGCAATGGTTTCAAGTTGGGAAAATTCAGATTCAGGAAGGATATAGGAAAGCACTGGTTTGGTAATAGAGTTGTGGATGAGTGGAACAAACTCCCGAGTACAGTTATTGAGGCTAAAACGTTGTGTAGTTTTAAAAATAGGTTAGATAAATTCGTGAGTGGGTTTGGGTGGGTGTGAGTTGGACCTGACTAGCTTCTGCTAGCATGTCTGATGCCGTGCTCCTTCCTTAAGTGAATATGACCTGACCTGATTGGGTTGGGTCATTGGCTTAAGTGGGTGGGAGACTTGGACCTGCCTCGCATCTACCAGTAGACCTGCTGCAGTGTTCCATCTGTCTTATGTTCTTCTTATGTCTCTTATCGTGCTAGTGGCACCTCTGCTTTTCCAATGAAAACCAGGGGTGTTGTACCATCTGCTGAGTCTTTTGCTTTTGTAGGGAGTAATCATATATCCCTCTCGCCTGCGTTCTAGGGAGTACAGGTTTAGGAACTTCAAGCATTCCCAGTAACTGAGGTGGTTTATGACTCACGAAATCGTAATGACACGACTGCAAACAAACCATACCACGGGTGGGGATAGAACCCGCGATCAGAGTCTCAAAACTCCAGACCGTCGCGTTAGCCACTGGACCAGCTAGCCACAATAAGATTAATGGATGAGTCTTACTGTAGCTAGCTGGTCCAGTGGCTAACGTGACGGTCTGGAGTTTTGAGACTCTCTGACCGCGGGTTCTATCCCCACCCATGGTATGGTTTGAGGTGTTTTATCGCAGTTATGTGTCGATAATAAAAATGATCCTTTTCATTTATAAATGTCTTGCTGGTAATTAAATGCAGTGTAATGTTCACTAAATCTTGAAATGCTCGTCGACACGAAACATATTTATTATATATTGTATTCTTCCCTGTTTATATTTCAATTATATATTTTTGAACTTGTCAGTGTTTATTTAAAAATTAATTTAATTTGAGATGGACGAATGAGATATTCCTGACCTTGAGTTTATCATACTGGGAGTAGCCATAGCTGATGGAGAAGTCGTAACCCATATCAATCATTTCCCTGACTGTCTGCGGCACTTTCTCAATGCGAGGGATATAGAGGAACGCTGTCAGATTACCGCTGTAAGTTGCCACCAGAACGATAGCTACCAGCCAGGTTGCTGTCAGAACCAGTCTACCTGCAGTGTTCTGAGGCTGCTTCTTACAACCTGAAAAATATTGCTTAAATAATATATATTCTCCAGCATATTATAGGCTTATCATTAACCTAAAAAACCCAAAATCCATAAAGAGAGAGAGAGAGAGGAAGAGAAAAGAGTGAAGGAGAGAGAGAGAGAGGAGGAAAAGAAGGGGAGAGAGAGAGAGAAACGCACACAGATAGTGAGGAAACAGGAAAAAAAATCATAGAGAGAAAAATAAATAAGTAAAAAAACAAGCATGAAGAAATAACAACAATTAGACATCAGTTTCGGTTTTTTTTTGGTGTTGACTCTAGGTAGGCCTATGTTCATAAAATAAGGAAACTAGTGTGAATATCTGGACGGCAACATGTAAGTATCATGGTAGTGTTGAGAGACGAGAGGAATACACGGTAAGTTCAGTTGATAACAAGTATAGTACATAGTGAGGAAACTGACGTGGTACATTAAGATGGTACCCAGGGACCAAGATGGTACCCAGGGACCAAGGTGGTACCCAGGGACCAAGATGGTACCCAGGGACCAAGGTGGTACCCAGGGACCAAGATGGTACCCAGGGACCAAGGTGGTACCCAGGGACCAAGAGGGTACCCAGGGACCAAGATGGTACCCAGGGACCAAGAAAGGTACCCCGGGACCAAGATGGTACCCAGGGACCAAAATGGTAAACCCCGGGACCAAGGGTGGTACCCGGGACCAAGATGGTACCCAGGGACCAAGATGGTACCCAGGGACCAAGATGGTACCCAGGGACCAAGATGGTACCCAGGGACCAAGATGGTACCCAGGGACCAAGATGGTACCCAGGGACCAAGATGGTACCCAGGGACCAGATGGTACCCAGGGACCAAGATGGTACCCAGGGACCAAGATGGTGCCCAGGGACCAAGTTTGGTACCAGGGACCAAGATGGTACCCAGGGACCAAGGTGGTACCCAGGGACCAAGTGGTACCCAGGGACCAAGATGGTACCCAGGGACCAAGATGGTACCCAGGGACCAAGATGGTACCCAGGGACCAAGATGGTACCCAGGGACCAAGATGGTACCCAGGGACCAAGATGGTACCCAGGGACCCAAGATGGTACCCAGGGACCAAGATGGTACCCAGGGACCAAGATGGTGCCCAGGGACCAAGATGGTACCCAGGGACCAAGATGGTACCCAGGGACCAAGGTGGTACCCAGGGGCCAAGATGGTACCCAGGAATCAAGCCGGTATTCAGTGACCAAGACAGTACCCAGGGACCAAAATGGTACCAGGACCAAGACGGTAGCCAGGGACCAAGACGATACCCAGTGACCAAGATGGTACCCAGGGACCAAAACGGTACCAGGACCAAGACGGTACCCAGGGACCAAGACGATACCCAGTGACCAAGATGGTACCCAGGGACCAAGATGGTACCCAAGGACCAAGATGGTACCCAGGGACCAAGATTGTATCCATGGACCAAGATGGAACCCAGGGACCAAGACGGTACCCAGAGACAAGATGGTGCCCAGGGACAAGATGGTACCCAGGGACCAAGACTGTATCCATTTATTTATTTATTTAGTAATTTTAGCATACATACAGAGGCACAAAAAAATACAGGTAAGAGCAGCATGCCAAAGCCACTTATATACATAGCATTACGGGCTGGCTTAAAATTAACTTAAGATTAACTAAGCAATGATGAAATCAGTGATAAAACATTATTGTAAACAGATAACTATAAAGCACAAATGAATTACAAAGACAAGTCATATGGTTGCATGCATTGTTGTACATTCAGTCGAATGGAGTATTTATTCTGTTAGGTAGTGTACTTAAAAAAATAATAAAGTTAGATTGGGTCCTAGGTTTAACATTTATGTGATATAATTGTGAGTAACATATAGGATATACAATTTATAAGGTTCAGTTATTCAGTATTTATTTGGTTTTGAGTGAGTAAGTGAACTTTGAGAAGAGACTTGAATTTATAAACAGGTAGTGTTTCTTTTATATTTACAGGTAATGAATTCCAGATTTTAGGGCCTTTTATGTGCATTGAGTTTTTGCATAGCGTGAGATGGACACGAGGAACATCAAAGAGTGATCTGTGCCCTTTTGTTATGGTCATGTGTTCTGTTGAGGTTGGCAAGGAGATGTTTGAGGGGAAGGTTAATATCAGAGTTAAGTGTTCTATGTATGTAGTAGGTGCAGTAATAAGTATGGATGTTTTGTATGGTGAGTAGGTTGAGTGTTTTGAATATTGGGGAGTGTGCTGCCTGTAGTGAGAATTTGTTATCATTCTAACTGCAGCCTTTTGTTGGGTAATTAGTGGTCTGAGATGGTTAATTGTTGTTGAGCCCCATGCACAAATTCCATAGGTGAGATAGGGGTAAATAAGAGAGTGATATAGGGGCCAGGAGGGCTGACTGTGGAACATAGTACCGTATCTTCGATAGTATGCCTACAGTCTTGGAAATTTTCTTAGAAATTTGTTGTATGTGTGTATGAAATTTGAGTCTATTATCAAGGTGGATTCCTAAGAATTTTCCTTCTGTGAGCTTTGTGATAGGTGATCCGTTTATTCTTATGTTAAGAGGTACATCTGTAGCTCTCTTACCAAACTGAATGAAGTAGGTTTTGTCAATGTTTAGAGTAAGTTTGTTAGTCCTCATCCAGGTAGATATTTTCTGTAATTCGGTGTTTACAGTATTGGCTAGCATGACTGGGCTCGGGTGAGAGAAGACGTATGTAGTGTCATCTGCAAAAAGTGTGGGTTTGAGTAATTGCGAAGCATTTGGTAGGTCATTTATGTATAGGAGAAAGAGAAGAGGGCCAAGGACACTTCCCTGTGGGACACCAACTGTAATTGGTTGAGCGGAAGAGCTTGCCCCATTTGCGTACACATTTTTGGCTTCTGTTGCTGAGGTAATGACTTGAGGTAGTTGAGGGAGTGCCCTCTAATACCATAGTGTGACAATTTTACGTGGAGCAAGTCATGGTCAACTGTTCAAAAGCTTTACGTAAGCCAATGAAGATCCCCAGTGGGACTTCTTTTTTCTCTATTGCAGTGTATATATGTTCTAGCATGTGTATAATAGTATCATTAGTATTTTTATTAGGCCTGAATCCAAATTGGCAGGGGTTGAGAATATTTTGGGAGATGAGGTAGGAGTGGATTCGTTTATGAATTAATTTTTCGAAGATTTTTGAAAAGAGGGTGTAAATTGGATATTGACCTATAGTTATTCAACTCTGTTTGGTCTCCTCCTTTATGGATCGGGGTGACCCTTACTATTTTGAGAGCTGTAGGGAAGGTGGAGGATTCAATGGATTTGTTAAAGAGTGTTGCAATGATTGGTGATAGTACTTGTGACACTTTTTTGTATATAAAGGGTGGTAAGGTATTTAAATCTCCTGCCTTGTTTTTTAGTGCGTTGATAATAAGGGAGACTTCGTTGGTTAGTCGGAGCTAGGAACAGTGTGTTGGGTAGTTGCCAGTAGTATCTTTGGTGGGGTATTGATTGGGGATTTTTTTGGGAAAAGGTTTTGCCCTATAGTGGAGAAGAAATCATTGAGTCTGTTTTGTTTTGTTGGTGGGAGTGGGGTTCACCTGTTTTTCAAATTTTATTTCGCTATTTCGTGAATCTTTTTTTTTCCGAATTTCTGATAGGGTCTTCCGGGTCTTTTTTTATCACCTCGAAAATTGGTAATCTGTTCTCATAATATAGTTTTTTTGTTTTATCAGTGGTTAGGATTGACGAGTAACGTTTTGTTTGGTCTTGGTTATGGACCCATTCTGTATTTTTTTTCATATCGGTTTTTTGTATTTTATGGTTTTGAAAATGCTGGGTGTTAGCGGGACTGTTCAGTCTCTTAGCTGTCTTTTTTTATTTTTTTTTAGGGCAGTGTTGTTATAGAGGATTGGGTCTTTTTTAGAAAATTTTAAAAACTTTCGTCAATATCTGAATAGATTTCTAGCTCAGTGTGCCGTCAGTGTTTTTTACTGCTGTTGTAAAGTTTTAATTGTGCCCATTGTAAAGTCTGGAGGTGACTTTGTAGTGCCCGGGGATTTTCCCAAGATTTGTATGGGGGAAAGGGGGTGTGGTCTGTGGTATTATCTGTAATTATCCCCTGATTTTAAAAGGGGGTATGGGGTTGGTCCGATGTGGTCAAGTAGGGAAACACTGTCTTGTAATTCTTGTAGGTTTTTTTACTGTTGGTAGAAATGCAGTTACCATTGTGTTTTTGAATTCAGTAACGTGTGGGCCCCGGTCTTGCGGAGATTTTATTGAAGTCACCTGAAGTAGTAAGTGATCTTTGTTATGGTGCTTTAATATCATACTTCCCCAGGTTTTGACTAAATTGGTAAAGTTTGACTGTGGAAAAATTGTAGATGTTTATAATGTGAGGGTTTTGTGGTATTTGGATTTGAATTAGCATTATATATTCCCATGTTCATCCCTTGGGCAAGTATTAGTGATACATTCTAGCTGGTCTGAGTAGTATATAGCTGTGCCACCCCCTTGTTGATCTGTCCTACAGTTGTGTATGGCTGTGTAACCAGGAATGGCATAGACATCTGTAGTATCAGGCTTTAGCCAGGTTTCAGTTAGTGTAATGATGGACATATTGGCATGCAGGGAATTTAGTAATGCTAGGAGGTCGTCGTAATGCTTGCTTAAAGATCTGATATTGTAGTTAAAGACAGTTATGTTGTTGTTGGCTCTGAGAAGTGCCTTTGATTGTTCTGCTGTGTAGTAATTACAGTAACTGTTTGAATCATTTAAGTCATTAAATAAGAGGTTGGTATCAGGATCAATGCTTGTAATCATAAGATTTGTAGTGAATCTATAGTTAGAATTAAGTATAAAACAAAGTAAATATTCTAAAGCTAAAAAAATAGCACCTGAATTATTTAACAAATGTAAAAATAATGAGCTAAGGTAGTTTTTTAAAGCTAAAATAAAGGAGACAATATAAAAGGGACTAAAATAATAATCCATGGACCAAGATGGAACCTAGGGACCAAGA